TTTATTCAAAGCTCATTTTCACAGGGCAGGTGAGTATATAGTTGCTAGACACTAGGCAAAACCAGAATAACAAGAACAGTTTTACAGGCAAAGAGAAAGATCCTTTCAGTTCCAAAGCTGCTATTGTTGATTGGGGCTGTTTCTGGTGATATAGATTTATGATCAAGGCACAGGTTATTTACAGCCCTATTGTAAAATAACATTGCAGTTTTCCCATTATTTACTGTGCAGTTTATGCAAGATACCAGCTGGTATTTTACAGTAGCTGGGGAAATAATGTTACTGCGCACTGCAGCCTTCTGACAGTGACAAGGATTTACGATGTCACCTGAAGATGAGAGGTTATGAAGTAAAAAAAAGACCTTTGGTCTTGTATCTGTTCCTGGCATCCCACTACCACTTTACATGTTTTGACAACTTGAATTAAAGGACAAAATAAAATGGCCTTGCATGGCACAGACACTATTTTGCTATAAGACTAGTTATATTTTACCCATGGGAAATTTTTTATTAGAAACTCATTGGCATGATCCTTCATGATTTCTTAAAGGATTAATGACTATTGGCATATCCATTTTTAAATGCCTAACCTAGCACCCCTTTCAGAAAGAAAACACTTTACAAAATGAGGAACATTGTAGGTGTTATTCTTCAACAGCCTATTAGAGCTATGAATCTTTCTTATTTATGCAAATTTTCAAAGGCTGTTTAAAATATGTTATCTAGAAATAAAACAGGGGTCTATAAGAACCTAGGTACAAATTATATTAGAAGGATCTCTGTCAATTGATAAAGTAGCTGCAGGTACAAGTGAAATACTTCTGTATTTATAGGGATTCAAGCTGATGGAGTTCATAAAGACTGAATATTTGAATTTTCAGGAATTTCAGAAATAGTCCACAGGAAAAAATATCACTAAGATAACATCTATAAAATAATAACAACCTAGTATTTTCAACTAGGAGGGTAATTTTTTCTAAAAATATTAGAGTGAAGTTAATAGTGTTTAGGTCATGTTTCTTATCTAGGTACCTAAAGCAGTCTCACAAATAGATCTGTTTGTTAATTTTAATAGAATATTCAGATGCAAACAATGTCTTTATGAACTAAATCTTATGTATGTACACTTGGATCACTCACAGTAAGTCAAGCACAGTTTGTGTTGATCTCAAAAGATAAATTAAGGCTCAGTACTTTTGAAAATCAAAACTTTAACTAAGAAACTTTGACCTACTCTTATTTTTTCTTTTTTCTAGTACTTTTTCTTGACTGTAAAGACATCCTGAATCTATAGTGAATAGATATTCGAATCTATCCTGAATGAGATACTTGTTCATTCCTTACATGTTTACAGTCTAGAATATTAATATAAGCTACTTATGAAAAATTAAGAAGCTGACATAAATCTGCTTGTGGACTAGGAAGGACCAGTGCTAATTTAGTATTCTGCCTGCACAGTGAGATGGCCCAAGAGCAAACGTGCTCTGCTGAGCCATGGCTGTTGCCAGGATTGTGCTTTGTCAGATGGAGATGGGCTCAGGGCAGTATTCACTTGTGCTGATATACTTAGTACATTACCAAGTATGTCAGTGCCCCTCTATTCAAGTATATTCCATGGAGCTTTGTTAACAGGTATGCAGAGTTTATGACTAAATTAGAGGGGCAAATCCCCAAATATTGAAATAATGACAGTCATGATATAGAAAATGCTGAAAAATGTTAAGATGCAATTCATAAATAAATTAATTTAAAATAAGCATCTTTAAGGTACTTCTTTTAACACTAGAAATTATTTGAATGTATTTCTTTACAGTGCAATAAATTGCATAAAGAACATAAACTTTGTTCCAGAAAGAGAAGGTTTTTCTTTTCTTTAGCAATGTCTATTAAAGTCAGCCTGCTTTTTTTCAGCTATTCAGATAACTTAGAATATAACAGACATTATGATTTTATGGAAATGATTAATACTATAATCTGAAGAAAAGCTATTAAGTGTAGACAAGATAGGGAGGAGCTACAGACATATCATTTCCCACTGAATAATCCTCTTGAAGAAAAGTAAAATTAATCTGATACCTTTATGCTAATGGATCAGAGTGGATCAGAGAGCTGAGATCTATGAATTGGGAGATTACCACTAGGACTGTAGAAGCATAGAATCCTCTGTAACAGACCAGACTTTTGAATTTCCAGTTGTTTTACTTTCACTATATGCCCTAAAGTGTAGGTTTAACAGTGTTATGGAAATTCCATTTTATTGCCTCAATATTTTTTTAATACGGCCAATATTCCACAATCCAGCTCACCCATAATACTTTGGTCTTGATCCAAGCTGTACAGATCTCATTCATTAGCAAAAGTGAACAAACTAGATTAATTTATTTTCTCAGTTAATATTTCTTATTTCTTTGAATCTGAGAAATAAACTTTATTCCATCCAACTACCACCAGGTTAACTGACCTAACTGTGTAAGAGGAGTGAAGCTGTTCAGCTCTCAATAGGCTGAGAAGAGGATTTTGACTAAAGACATTTTAATTAAATCACTCCATTGGGTAAGAGAGAGGAAAAAGTCTGCTTTCATTTTCCTATAACTTTATTGCTTCTACAGTTCTAATAGAAATAAAACCAATCGAAATCTTATTACTAGTAGTAAAATGCATACATATACCTCACAATTAGATCAAGATGAATATTGGTGAATTGCTAACTAACTAACTAAAATGCTAGCTGAAGAATTTTGCTGAAATGTTTCAAAATTTGCCAAGTAATGTTTTCATTTATATAAATATTTTTCTACAATTAAAAAACTTCAATTCCACAATTCCACTACTAACTGTATGAGTACATTAACCTTTAATTACAGAACAACGATTATATTAAAGACACAAATAGAGTATGGCAGGTGATTATTGATGGTGTTTAGTCTAATATGTACACTGTAAAGCACAGAAATGGGTAAAAACAAATAAGGACATTCTCTTTTTATTTCATACAGTGAAAATCTGATAGTAGCTTAATTGTTACTATGTTCTTGCCAATACAAATGTACTTAATCATTATTGATTCTACCTGAAATACATGCTTAAAATCAGAAAGATTTAACATTTTTAAAGTTAAAGCAAAACTATGTTTAATAAAAAAATAATAACTTTTAAAAAATTTGGTCTGTATACGTTTTAAGTCAACCTATTAAATACTTTTTTCACCTCAAATACTGATATCAGGAGATAGCATGTAATTTCTTCATGTATCTTATATCAGAAAAATCAAATTTTCTTCTATTTTTTTCATTTGCTCCTCTTTCACACAATACAATCCTTTGTTCCCATGCCTCTATTTTAATGCAGTAAATGGATTTCCTATTTAATGAATCAGCACTGCCAAACTTCCTATAGTTTAATGCCCAAAAACTCTTGGAGTAATAATGAGAACTGCTACTTCCTAACAGGTGATTTGCTGTACATAGTGAAAAAAGGAATTTTGCATGTGGATTTATGGATTGCTGAGACTTACTTGTAGCTTTTTCTGGTTTGGGTTGCAATATATTCATTATAGCATTAATGCCAGTTATAGCTGAATAAATGATTTCTTTCCTTATTTTCCTATCTGTGCTATGAATTATGGGACAAAAGAACGCATTTTTAATTGCCATTGCCTCAAAGCATCTAAATCATTAATTGTGAAGAGTCAGATAATCAAAGGTTTTGGTGGGTGGTCCATACATAACATTAGTAATATAAGGTTTTCCACTCTTACACTAAAGCTGAGACAAGTACTCCACGAGGTAACCTTCCACTAGGTAATCCTTGTTCTTTTTTTATTTTTTTCCCAATTTATTTGTGCATCCAGAGTTGTTATTTTAATGACACTCCTAAGAGAAGGTGAACACAGGGCTTGAGCACCTCTTCCATGCAGACAGGCTGAGAGAGTTGGGGCTGTTCCGGCAGCAGAAGAGAAGGAGTCATGGAGGCCTAAGAGCAGCTTTGCAGTAAAAGGGGGCATCCAAGGAAGGTGGAGAGGGACTTTTTACAAGGTCCTATAGAGGTAGGATGGGGGAATAGCTTTAAACTCAAAGAGACAGATTTAGATTAGACATTAGAGAGTAATTCTTTGCCACAAGGGTGGTGAGATACTGAAACAGGTAGCACAGGGAAGTAGTGGATGTCATTTGGGGTGTTCAAGGCCAGGTAGGATGGCACTTTGAGCAACCTGGTCTAGTAGAAAGAATCCCTGCCTGTGTCAGGGGTTTGGACAAGATGATCCAAGCCAAATCATTATATGGTTCTATTTTTAATTTAGTACATTACTTGATACTTATTACTATTAATTTATATACCTTGGACACTATCTACCACCTTTTTAAGATGTATTATGAGGTTCTTCCACATCATCTTTCCCTTTTCACAGCATTTAACCAACAGAAAGATGCTACATGAATACAATTCTACATAAATGGGATTTTGATTGATTTACTCTGTGTTATTTTCTCTTTAGGTCATGTTACCCTGTGACCTGAACAATTTTTTAACCTTAGTCTTAACTGTTCAGATTATTTAACCCAGAATATCTCCATGTACTTGCTATTTGTTCTTGTTAGCATAGTTCTCAAAACACAGTTGTGCTATTTTTTAGTCCCTTGTAGCTAAAACTGCCTGTGGCAGGGTGATAATGGGTATGGTGCCTTGATGTTTTATTCACAGTTCAGTGTCACTCAGTACACAACCTGGTTTCTTGCTGCTATGCTTTGTGAGACTTTCCTCAAGTTTTCTTTGTGACTTCCTTCAACTCTGTCAGCCCATCCTGCACTGCCTTCACTTAAGTGGTGGTAAAATGTAGGGAGATAGAATATAAGAAAGATAGTGTAGAAAGTAATCTTACCCCTAAGGAGTTGCAGCTGAGCCAACTAGGAAAGATTAGGAACAGGGCTGACTTTACCAGGCCACAGCTGTAACCAATGAGAAGAAGAGTGCTATAAAAGAGCAAGGTGGCTGGGTAAAAAGGGAATTAGAGTCAGTTGGCTCTGGTTTGTAAAGAAGAAAGAGTCAATGCTTGGAGGCGATGCCCATGAGAAACACCAAGAAGGTATGACACTTTTGTGGTAAGGAGACAACAGTAGTAGGTCTTCCCAGTGCTCTCTCCACACTTTTTAGACTATCTCTTATTTATATAAGCTTAGTTGCTCTCCTATTTCTTGTGTACCAATTCAAACCACTCCTAGCTTTATTTCTACCTTACTACTAGAGTTCCCTCCTTGCTCTATTACTTTCCACCAGCTAGTCCATACCTATCTAATCTGAAATTCCCATGAAAATGCCTTTTGCATTCTCAAAGGGTTTTTGCTAACTATTTGCTGACTCAACAGATCAAATAAGCTTGTGTAAAACCAGTAGATTTGTAAATCTTGGGAAAACCTTTTAACTTTTGCAGCAGCCTCACTGCTAACCTATTAAACTGGATCAGGAAGGGTCAGTAATAGCTAAAACCACAGCTAAAAATAGAATAATTTAATCTTGGAGTTATAATAACCATTCACTGGAAAAAAAAATGTTGGAGGAGAATCCTGTAAGGTGGTCTTGCCTCATAGCAGAGCCAACTGAAAAGTCAGAACACCTTGTTCAGGGCATTTGCCAGTGGAGTTCTGATCATCTCCAAGGATAAATATTCCTTAACGTCTCTGGACAATCTGGTTCAGTATTTTATCCCTCTGCTGTGATCTTTTTCCACCTAATACCTACTCAGAATTTTCTTTTTTGCAATTGTTGTCTATTGCTTGAAAAATCAATTTTTGTTTGCTTCTGACTAGGAGGTGATTCTATCATCCCTGTAACCTCCCACCAGGTAACCAAAGAGACCAAGAAGATCCCCTCTTAACCTTTTTCACTTAAGCCAGCTCCCCTAGCACCTTCTTACTCCTTATGTAGCCCAGTCCCTTTTATCATCTTGCTTACCTTCTGAAGGACTGTCTCCAGGATGTGACTTTTTTTTTTTTTTTCATTGAAGAGACAAAAAACAAACACAGTCCTCCGGGCATGGCCTTCCAAGCTGCACAATAGAGAAGAAAAGCCACATCTCTTGAAGATCTGTCTGCACTCTTGTTAATAGAGCCCCATATGGCTTCATCCTCATTGTCCCAAGGTTGCACTGCCAACTTGAAATCTCTTGAAAATAAGCACTACATTCCAATACTAACTGGGAATAGGTGAGAGCCCTGGCTTCTTAAGTGACTTATGCTGTCCAAGAAGAGAAGAGATACTTCAGACATCTAGGGATCTTGATATATAAAATTCACAGCTCTGCATGTTCCTTTATGCTTAATGTGTGCAGGATCACGAGAGGAGATAAGATGAATAATGCAGAGATGCCAATCTAGGGTAAGTTAGTCTCAGCTTTTGAATAATCTTTAATAGAAGTTAGATAACTAATCCTTTTTCACTTCTTCACATATGAAGAAAACCTGTAACATTACTTATTTCACATCTCAGACACGTTTTGCAGTAATGCAGACATTTTTGTGGTAATGATGTGGCTGTGAACCAAGTGTTTGCATGGGGCCCATTGGCATCATGCAGACAAAGCTTGTTGCCTTTAAGGAGAGAGTGACAATTGTGCTGCTTTTCTAATTATGCAGTATCTCGCCACCCTGACAAAAATTGTAGTTGTAGCACATTATGTTACATTTTTTTAGCTCACAGACAGCTTATCTAATTGAGCTAGCTTGCTGGAAATTGCACAAAGAAAAAGCCCAACAATCACCTACTCAAATATTATAACTCCTGTTGTGTCATTGCTTAATTAGGTCAATATAATGATATTAAAAATCAAACATAGTCTTTGGTTCCTCCACTAAAAAAAGTGACCCTAACTGTGAAAGGAAGCATTAGATAAACAGAATTTTAGATATTTTTTAGTCATTCTGTTCCAGGTCATTTGAAACACCTCTTTATTGAAATGTCACTATAAAACCTTTATTTTCATTTCAATGTCATAGAAATAAATTACATGTAATATCTTTCCTGTCCCTTTCCTTCTTGGTGCTCTCAACAAAAACAAACATAAAATCTCAGATAAATACCGGGGAGAAAGGAGAAACTTCCTCATCAGAATCATAGAATAGCCTGTGTCAGAAGGGATCTTAAAGATCATTTACTTCCAACTCCTCAGCACGGTCAGGGACACCTTGCACAGCCCAGGGTGCCCAAAGCCCATCCAGCCTGGCCCTGGGCCCTGCTGGGGATGGGACAGCCAGCCAGGGAGGTTGGGTTAGGGTTAGGAGATGCATGGAAATTTGCAAGAGTGAGTGCACAATGACCTGGCGGACCTGGTTTGACCCTTTTTGGGGCCTAAGGCTGGACTGGATGACTTCTGAGCAATCTTGCAACTCACATTACTCCATTAAACTGCAGGCAAATTTAGAATGGTGAAATATAAAAGGAAGTAAAGATGGGGATTAATCAAGCCTGTTCCTGAACTCCTGAATTCAGTTGGACCATATATCAACCCAACACCCTTTAATTATATACTCCAAATAAAAGTAAATTAGAAAATTGAGAAGCTTCAAGCAATCTAAGTTTAGGGATATTTGCTTGGAGATCTCGGTTCAGTTTATACCTGAGTATATCTACAGACAATTCTGGAATTATTTTTTAGTGTTATCCTATCAGCCCATAAAGCTTAAAAAATGGCCTCTTTTCTAAAACAGCAACAAAGGGAAACACTTGAAAAATATTAGAAATTTATGAGTCAATGTCTATTAAGTTGGAAAGACAGTATTCTGAGCATCCTAAGCATATGGGACTTTTTAATTCAGTGTAACCTAACAATAGATTAATTGGGGGATGATTCCTTCCTCTTGTACATGGCCAAGGACAGCAACTAATTAAAACTCATTTGTTATAAAAGATTTATAGTTATGGAAATTAAACTGACTACATCAAGATTTTTTAAGAGATTGAATTTTCCTATGTATAAGGGGATTAATAATATACGAAATTGAATTCAATATAAAATGCAGTGCTTGTGAATACATGCAACATTACTGAAATAGAATGGAAGTGTTTTAATGAGGAGAATTAAATTTGCCATTAATAGCAGGAACAAATATGTGTGCAATTTTACTACTGATATAGTTTTTGAGTTCTTATAATGCTTCACGTGCAATACACATAGATATAGCTAATTCTTTCTATAATGGTAAAAAAAATCCCTTTCCAGGAAATATCCTAATACTTTATGATTTTATATATCACAAAAGTATTTATGTTCTCTATTCTCTCACTGATTCAGATCCTATGCAACTGTTAAATAAGTATCCTTTCCTTGACAGTGAGTTCTGTAAGTGTCCAGATGAAAGTTTGGTTAACCTGATCGCAACTAGTTTTGAACTTATTTGTAACATTAGAGATGGTGATTAAGATTCTAATGGAATGAGTATTAAGGTGTGTTCCCTAAAGCATTCAGCAGCTGGGACAGACAAACTGGATCCCTGAAGAGCTAAACAGTATCCTAGTGTCACAGCTTAGATTAAAATTCTTTGCCCAGTGATTTTTCTCTTAAATCACTTAATTTAAATGTACCTTTCATAGATTTAGTTGGAAATCAGCTGCAAATGCTAAAAATACCAACACCAAAACAACTCACTTGAAAGAATAAACATAGGTGTGTTTAATAGATTCTGTTGCTAACAATGTTGATTCAGAAGCATAAGGACCTTATAGAATAGCTTTGTCTTTCACATGGGTGCTTTGTGATTATACTGACATTTTCCCTTTCATCACTGTTAGGCTGCCCACAGTGTCACTACATGCAATTCTGTGATAATCATTAGTTTTACACAGCTTTAGGTACCTCAGGATTATATTCCTAAAGCAGCACGCACTTCATTAAAAGTATTATTGCATATGTGAATAGTAACATAGAAATGAAAAGAGAAAGGCTGCCTCAGGAAGTTAATTTTTTTCTTCTGCTATTAAGACTTGCCACAAATCTTGATAAGAAGCAAGAACAGAATATCAAGTACAAACTGAATACTTATAAAGCATGTTTGGAGCATAATCCTGTACTTGAATACTGTCCTCAGTACCAAATCATAGAAGTACAGAATATGTCTAATTAAAACCTACTGTAGTTAAAAAGATTGTCAGTATATTTTCATATATTTAAACAGGTCTATAGTTTTTTAAGCATCAGAAATACACAATAGAGAAATAGCAAAAAAATTAAGCAAAATCATTTCATACTGTTTTAACCACATATGAACATGATCCTATGACAATTTTTGCACCTTAAAAATATGCCGAAATTGCCATCTTCATTTATTATTAACTCTACTGGAAATAAAAGCTCCTGGTTGCTACAGGACAGAATGGCACAAAGTGTTTAGCTACAACCAACTATGCTAGAAGGAAAAAATGCAGCACCAAAGTAGCTAAAAAATGAGATTTCCTCTGAGTTCACATACCCTCCAAGCAAAAATGTGGTTTGATGTCTCCTGGTCAACTCATGTACCGGGGATTAAATTAATTAAGAGTTGCCCTAGTCTATTAAGGCTCCCTGTAGACTAATTATTAAAATGCCTTGGACCATTACAAACCTGCAGCAAAGGAAAGTCACAAAAGGGTTGCTTATATTATGAGAACTCCAATACCCAGTAGATTATCTTTTTGCACAAAAGAGATTCTACAATACTGCCTTCTCCTTTCCTTTTCTGCCATGTAAGGAATAGAAAAAAATGTACCAATAGGAAATCTGCATATTCATTAGTGTTTCTTTTTTGTATATTCAAACGCATATGCTTTTATCAGTTGTCAAATTGTTTACAGATGGAAAAAGTCTGCTTTCTAATTTCTGATTTTTGTTTTCTTTTCCTACATTGAGTTACCATATATACAACGATTAGGGATTTTAAAAACTCCAATTATTAATTTAAAAAAATGTATAAAATAATTAAACAGAGTTTCTTACAGAAGTGCTGAAGCTGTCTACAAGGTCATTACTTAGAAACAGCAGGACATTTTCCCATAAAGTACAACTACCCATTTTTTTCTGTTCTGCCTTTTAAGAAATCAGAAAAACACAAGGGCTCTGGGTAAGTGAATCTCTTCTCCCAACCCAATTTCACACTTATGTGGCTCTGCTCATTATTGCATTATCAAAACCATGGTGCAAAGAGAACAATGAGACCAATGAAGTGATAGAAGTGAGCACGTGTACTATATTCTTAAAATATAATTTTTTACTTTTAATTTCCTCTTAATTCTTAACTAAACTGCAACTAAATTCTTAACTACCCACCATAGATGCATTACATCTCTGGCAATTGATTTTCCCTGAAGGCTCTTACTGTATCTGCCTGTTAACCACCTGAGTTCATCAGATACCTCAGGACAAGCATCCAGGGCAACCTTGTGTGTTTTTCCAAATCCACTTTTGGATACCACCTGAAATTACTATCCATAGATGATACATCTGGTGAGGCCACTCAGTATGAAAGAAAGTTGAGGGAGCAATTTGGAGTCTTTCATGGACAGAATACACATTTTCAAGTATATTACCAGAACAGAGAAATGTAAGGTCATATGCAGGAAGTAAAAAACCCCTGTTCACTATAACTGAGTTATTCCTGTGCTTTGCTGTTGTGCAGTGTGATTTAACAGTTCTGTTTCCTTGATGAATATGGACCATTCAAGACTGTACCATACTGGTGAGAGTGTTATCTCTCTCACATACACGCATGGTGAACAAGCCTGACTATTTGATTCCAGACACACAGAAAGAGTCTTCTGTGTTTAAAATATAAATTAATCTTCTGATCTTTCTAAAATATTATCTTATATTTTAATTATTAATCATTTTTGCTAATTATAAATTATGTATTGAAAGATACTTTTACAGTTTTAAATAGATTTTTTTGCAAAAATAAGCCTCTTACCTTTGTTTATGGATTTAAATAGATTTGCAGTGGAGAAATATTTTGCAGTAATTAATTATATCAGTGGAGGAGACAAAAGCTGCAGTAGTGCAGCTGAATGATATATCTAAATTTAGCACTTATTTAGTCTATATGCAAAGTTGTTTCTTATTAAAACTATTTCCTTCATGTTTAAAATTGTTGAAAGACCCACATAAGGAAATTCATATAATTGATCTGTGGAGTTTTATAAATGCAGACCAAATGCTGAGCAATCCAGTCCAAAAGCATGGCTACTTGATCAAATCACACAAAGCCACAACATCTCTAAAGAGAGAAAAAACTAACTCAGTAGGAGAAGCAGAGGAAAGCAACAAAGACTAGTTGCCCACTGTTTGTGATAGCAGTCTATTTCAGTATTTAAACTGGTATGAAATCCCTGGTTTTAAAACTTTCCCTTTTCAGAACAAGCTGTACCTCTCAATCCAGTGATCTAATTGGTTACCATAGGAACAGCTGGAGACTTTCAGGTTTTGAAAGTTGAACCTCTAATAGTTTCTATACATGCCTCCAGGTCTAGCCTGATCCTGTAAAGGAATACTTAGGATTTTTTAGACCTCTTCTGAAACCCTGTAAAGCTACCTATATGCCTAGTAAGTAATATAGAAAGAGATGTGACAGAAAAACCTAGTGATTACAGGAGGAAGGCTATCTAGTTAAATGAAAGACTGTGGTGGATCAGCAAAGCAAATGAACACAAAAAAATGCCCTAGGATAAACGAAGAAGAACCTGCAACCTCCTAAGCATAATAATTGGAGATTCTTCTGTTTTCTTAATTTCTAGTAATCTTCTATATTTTTAGGACTTTTTAGCTCTATTTCAGTGGTGCAGTATTTATAGTAGGATAACTATATGTCATCTGTTGTATTCACTGGAAGATGCTGAAATTTTTTTACACTTAGGCTTTTGAAGGCTTTTGAAACCTTGGGAGAAAAAGCACGTAAAGATCATAAAAACACAAAGGTTCATTCCTCTTCCAAGAATTACTCCAAGCTTTAGGAAACTGTTGTATTTCGATTAAAGGATTTTTCACCCTGCTAAGGTATCCAAGCAGTCTTTGCTGCCCTGGCTGGCATCTTTTGAGAGAAAGAAAGGCTGCTCCATCAGCCTTTGCAAACGCCAGACCAAGACTTAATATTGCTCAGCTGGCACCATCCACTCTCTGTTAACACAGATAACTTGACCCCAGTCATCATTTTTGCACTAGCTCAACTACTATTCCTTTCTTTAACATTTTATAACCTTCTATGCAGCTTTTTTCTCTCCTGAATCCTTCTGCACCAAACAATGCCATTTTAACAATCCTAACTCTGTAATCTTACCTTTCTTATATCTCTGCAGACTTTCTCACCATTCCTCCTGTGTGAATCAAGGCTGTCTTATTTGAGTTGATCCTTGGAGTCTTGGGTCCCCAGCCACTAAAAGAGGGAGAAGTGGGAAGCTTAGAACAGGTAGTTGTAACACTCCTTTCCAAATTTTTTATTAAGTTGATGATGGAATGCATAAGTAAGGAAACAAAGGAGAAGTCAGTTCCCTTGGAGTGAGCTGATGTAATATTTCAGGGTCCACTGCTATCTGCAGAAGTGCTTGTCCCCTTAGGATATAAGCAATTGTTAACAAAAGGGCATCGTTCTCAAGAGGAATATGGGACAGAGTGTTATGAGAAAGAAAGAAGGCTGAAAATCAACAAGGATAAAAAAGAAAGGAAAACCAGTCTTTATTTTTGTAGTTATTTGAGGGTTATATGTAGATTTTAGGAATCTAAAATATTAAAGAAATAAACAAATAAGCCAAACTTAAAAAACAAAGCACTAATGATTTATGTCAACTTATGCTGAGACAGACTAACACCACAGTTTTGTGTGACTGCTTATCTATTATTCTGTTTATTCTTATTAAAAACTGATGCTTTGTGTGTTTGTGTTCTGTATATGAGTCCAGGATAAAACTAGCAAGGTAAATTTGAAAAGATGTGAAATACTAAAATATTCTTTTTTAACTGTTTTATTAAAATATTCAATATGTGAAAAATAAAATCATATGTCAGGAATTATAATCTATGATTAGTTTCCCTAGAGGAATTCTTGATTTTTTTATCTCAAGACTGAGTACTCTGTTGCCCACCTTGCCCTATGTTTCTGTTTCTTTGTTCTACTGTGGCTAACACAGTCAGCACAAATACATTTCACATCCATGGTCAAACCTGCACAGGCAGCATCTTCTTGCCTTACCAAAACCCAAAATCTGTCTTGGACATATTGCTCAACTCAGTTTGAATTTCTAGTTGTTCAAAATATTTCAGAGGGACCTTCAAGCAATGAAACTATTCTAAAGAGATGGTAGGGCTTCACAGAGAAATTGCTGAATGGTAATGTTAACTTCTACAAGACAATTACTGAGTTCTAACATTGCCCATTTTCTTACTAGATAGGTCTTTTAAACTTCTATATATTGTTTCCACTCTATTAAAATCTGACTAACATCCACCTGTAGAAAAATTATAAAATTTCGAGGTTTAGTTCATCTGCAACAAATTTGTTCTTCAGTTTTAAGACCCACAATTTTGGGTAGTGTAGGCAATCGTTTTAGATGTACGAGCATTTTACTCTTCTTCTGGACATGTAAGCATACAAGAAAAACTAAGGGTACTTCTCAGGGTAATAATGGATCCATTTCTCATGGATCAAAGCAGCAGCTTTTAAAGCAGCTATTGCTCTTTATATCCTGCTATAAACTCCTACCTACTGCTGCTACTTTTCCAATCAGCTAATACAATGAGAATCTCAATGAAAAAAAATGTATTTCATGATATTTTCTCACAAAGTGATTCTTGATACAATTTCTGATAGAAGACAGGATCACTGGGGACTGTATAATATTAGCACAGTGAGTATCTTTAGTAGTAACTTTGCAAACCTTTTCTTTGCTTTTTTTTTGCATTCTGACAGCTCTCAGCAGTAACATTTAAGAAGTTTTGAAAATATAACCAAAAAAATTACAAGCAAAGGCACCAAAGAAATAGTTTTTTGTATCATTTTAGCTAATACAAAGTCAGTTAAAGCAATTTCCTTTAGAGAGAGATTGAGCACTTAAATCCGATAGTGAAATCATGACATGGTATCCATGAGAGGGACTGAACTTTTTCTATGCTGTTGACATTTTTACTTTGAGTTACATCAGTAAATCCACTAGTTTTGTCCTTTAATAAATTCTTTCTAGTGAACTACTTCGATACCAGTTGCAAGTTGCAAAATAAATTGCAAAGTAGTTGTAGCCTTGTTTAGCAAAAATTTTATTCTAATTAGAGTTCTCTATCCATCACCTCTATCTCAGTTTCTTCTCTTTGTTCTGAGCCCTACATGAGATGCACAGGATAAAAAATGGGTAATTTTTAAGTAAAAGATGTGGATGATTTTTTACATTATTTATATTTTGCTGAACATAGCTGTGTTTCATGTCTGAATACATCCTAATAAAACTGCATGCTAATAAACACCTCACCCTTCTTACTGCAACTGAATTTGGAATGTCTCTGAAGAAGCATCTCCTGAGGATGGTCTTTTGCCCAGATCTCATCCTCATTCCCATTCAGTCACACAGAAATTCTTCCACATTAAAGATAATGAAGAAGGAAAACAAAATCAAGATTCTTCAGAAAAACTCTTCTTTTTCTTGATACAAAAGAGATTAGATTTATCCTTTTTAGTAATTATTTCAAAAGGTGTCTGAAGCCCACCTTTGAAAAAAAAGTTTGGAATAGGAACTTCAACAGAATTTTTGAAGGGGAGAAAAATCTTATTGTTAGAAATAAAGTTTTACATTTTTCTCTAAAAGCTGTCAGCAAGTCAGTGGATTAAACACCACTCCTGCCAGGAAGAAGATGGGCAATGAAAATTGTCATTGAGTTTGTCATTGACTTAATTTGTTGACTTTATTGGCATAGGGGAGATAGGCAGCTGAGAAAGTGAAAATAATAAAATGGTAAACACTTGTTATCATTTTATCAATGATCTGAATTCAATATATTTCTCAAAACTATACAGATTTTAATATATAGAAATATGTATATTGCTTATACATGTCTATATGCAGGAGAACCATCAGTTGAGGTAAAATTCTAACAAGTTTATCTAAAGCAGTGGCTAGTGAGACCTTTGTCTCATAACTTGATGCTGAGTCTCTAGTCATAGCTACACATCTGGAATCTCTCTCTAGGCAGCAAAGACAGAGAGGCAGTTCTGGAAGTGAAGTCATTCAGCCTACCTTAAACCTGTCTTCACATGGAGCCAAGTGCAATGCATTTATCTCTCTCCTCTGGTGAGGAGCTCTCAATGATTAGCCTACTCTAGCTATCCAAATTCTTTTTTGTCACCTTTCAGTAAGGTGAATCCTATTGTCAGTATAAGTGCAAGAACTGTACATTCACTGCATGTATCTGAGGCAGATATACTTTTATCTTCAACAAATACCTCCATCTCTCCTTTAATATTGAAGGATCTGCCATGGTTTACTTAGAGTTAACTTTCATTCAACTAGGTAATTTTTACCGCTGATAACAAACCACGAAACAATCTCAACAAAAATATCATTTTGCAGCTGACATTGGTCCTTTGACTAACTTTATCATTGTATTCAAATTAAAAAGAACAATTAAAATTAAAGATATAAATCTGGGTGTTTAAGGGTTGATTCAAGTCAATATCTTGCTAGTATTTTTTAATAAATAATATTTCCTAAAAAAAAAAATATCAGATTTTCTCTGCCTGTTTTGTCCAGTGTTACCTGGATTTTTGTTTGCATGATTGGTTGGTTTTATTAATCAAAATTTGCGTAGAATCAAGCCAGTTTTGAATGTAGAGGTTTGTATGCCATCTCTTTTCATAACTAGACTGTACCTGCTGTCTAGAAAAGGGTTAGAGATGCTGGTAAATCATGTTCACAATAGTTGTGCTGTTATTAGTTAAAAATTGAGTAAAATCTTTTGTCTGTGGTGGTTTTACTCAATTTGATTGAGTGCAGGATTACAAATACAGACTTTATTCATGTCAAAATGCATTATGCTTTGATTCAAATGGAGCCTAATTCTCCATAAAAGACTTTGATCTTGACATGAGACAAATGATTTTTCTCACTGTAAAATAAATTCTATTCTAAAGCACTATGAAATCTAAATAAACAAGCAAGCAAGCAAACAAACAAAAATTCCAATTTCTTTTCCTATTACTTTGACTAAGCAATAATAGCTAGAGTTTTATTTTGTCTGTATGGACCAACCTTTCTGATCATATCCTTCTGATCATCACATCACAAATGTTCACCAATGGCACTACCAGTAAATCAATATTTAAGTACTTACATATAAACAATAAAATGTTTTGTCCATGGCACAAAAGAAATTAAACACACAGGTTTTTATTTCTAAATAAATAGCTTTGGCTCTTCAGGAGTGAGACCTGAGAAAATATTCTGTGCACAATGGTTATTTAATCTGACTATATTTTGTGCTTAAGGTTAGTTCTGCCTCTGAAACAAGCTGGTCATATAAAAATATTTCCTCTTTTATAATTAATTATCATAGCAGTAATAAACCCTGTTTACTTACAGCTCCTGGATTAGCTATTACATCATATCTTCTTTCCTAAATGCAGACTTCCTCAAGGTATATTAGAAAGAAAAAGAAAAACATATATTAGATGTAACTAAAGATATATTCCTAAATTCACATTAAAGCAATGGCATTTCAGAAGTATTTTCTATACAAATGGTTGCCACACCTAAAAGAGTTATTTGGTAAGGAATAGACAAGGAATTTTTTTGTTTTTTTAATGTTCATTGTAATTTTATTTTAAAGAGATCATAACATAAGTGTGATGGTGGGACATTTTTCTGTGTGAAAAATTTATTCTGTTTGCATCCATCACCTGCTGACTCTCCCATCACATTTATGGTGCTATTATTGGCAATATGATTTTATGTTCCTGATCTCAGTGTCATTTTTTAATCAAATTTATTCCTTATGAACCACTCCATACTTGTAGTTAAGATTTTACTACCCCATTTCCAAAATGAAAAAAATATTATCCTGGGTCTCCTAGTGAGGAACTGAAGGTTTTCAGATTCAGGTAGCAATCTGAACCTAAAACTACATTCCTCTTGTTCCTCCTGTGTAGATTTCTTTTGAAGGACTATCACTGATCAATGATATTTCAGAATCAATGAGATTCTGAAAACAGGCTTTCTCTTATATTCAAGGAGCTGAAAAATAGATTACTAAAATTTATAAAAGTACTTTAAAATGGATGTTAAATTTTATTTTTTGAGTTCTCATTATTAAAGAGAATTTTAAATTTTCTGTTACTTATGCTTGAAATCTGAACTTATTAGTAAATTATTTGTGGGATTTTTTGGCAAAAAAAAGAC